GCACAGACGGAGATAGAGTTTCAAGTGCCACTGATTGAGTTTGGACTGCAGTAGCTTCAGTACTACCGAAGTGCAAAAGAGTGTGGTGCCTGCGCTCGCAGATACGACAGCTGCTAGAGCTGCATGTACTCACCCGATGACCTGCTTTTAGACAGTTTAAGCATAGAGAGAGTCTCCTGACTTCCTTAAGGCGATTCGCAGGGGACAGGGCCTTGAACTTCGAGCAATAAAGGATTTCGTGAGCAGTTTCACTGCAAAAAGCGCATCCTGATGAGCTGCGACTTGTGGCAACAAATGCGGATCTAGAAGGGTTAGTTTTTGTACTTCTGCCCACTTGACTGCTCGGCGCATAAGTTGCCTTAGCAAAATCCACGGTTTCCAATGTCCTGCATCGCTGTTCTAAGAACGAGGCCATAGATTCCCACGAAGGAATGAGATTGACAAAGGCTGTATCTTCTACAGTTTCCTACCACTTTGCTTGACTCACTGGATCCAGTTTCCGTAGAAGCACCTGCACGATGATGCATCCAGCGATCTGCTCAGGAGTACCCAAAGTCTGCAACGCCCGCATATGAGAGTTGAACTTGTCCGAAATCTCCCAAAGCATAGCCACTGACCCATTTTCCACAGCCAGGAGCTCCAGGATCTCAGTAATGTATGCCTGAAAGACCAACCGTCGATTATCAAATCTCTTTTCCAATAACTCTAATGCCATGTTATAGTTGCCATCCGAGAGTTCTAACGATTGAATTGTCTCCAACGCCGAATCAAGCAAGATCGCAGATGCTGGAACTTTTCAATATTGGATAGGTCCGGATGATTGTCAATAATGGTAACAAACAAAGAATACAAATCTGACCAGTTTGCATACCCTCCGCCAAACGTTGGCAATTGCACAGGCCACAGGGACTGTCTACGGCGAGGTGGAGGCTGCGAACAGGCAAATCCAGCAGTTGCATTTGTTCCAGCCAACGCGGAATGAGAAGGCATCTGATTGCTAGTCCTGGCAATTTCTCGACAAATTGACGGCTTCAAAGTTCGGAAAAGTGTTTGAAACTTATCGCGCAATCCACTGCTAAATTCTCGACAATCCAATTCTTCGAACTCGTTCTGCACGGTTTTGAACGTGCCCTGCAGCTCCTCGATCTCCTCCAACCTTACCACGAGCATATAGTAGTTGCAAGCCGACAATTCATTCTCCCAAGTGGCACTCAATCTTTTGAGGCCTTCGCACATTTCCGATGCCTTCCGCTTCAGAAAAATCACCCTGTTTTCCGCAGCGGTAGTTTCACTGCCGTTTGAACCATCCAACACCATAGCAGCGACGGCGTTAGAAAAACGTTTCTAGCGGGAAGGTGAAAAAAAAAAATGTACCGCGCGCAACAGACGGGAAAGAGCACCGCAACCAAAACGTATATGCTTATATGCAAGAGCGGCTGGTGTATATATATGTGGTCGATGACACTTGAAGCCGCGGGCAAACGACAACAACGAACAACCAGCAATATATGGCACTATTTGAATGCTAAATTGTAGTTTGTGATTGCGCGAATATATTAACTGATGCACAATCACGTCGGGGTCACCAAATGTTTGGCTATTAAGAGTGTTTTATAGCCGTTGTAATATTGTACAATTTATTTCGTATTGGTAAGGGAAAGTAGGCGTCAGGATGACCGATATAATAAAGCGATGCGATGGATACGAAGATTATCTCTCAACAGGCTGCAAGGGGAAATGGGCCGACTTGCCAGCGCACTATGCAGCAAGTCTTGAAAGAGAGCGAAAGCGAGCGATGAAACGAGAGCAGTTCCGGGCAGATGCTAAGCCGAGCACGAACGTCATATGGAACGCGATAGACCAGCTTAGATGCTGCAACTGCAACAACAAAGCGAAGAAGGCGAGATAAAATGAAAGAGCGGTCGCTGCCGTGCATAAACATAGGCTGATTAACAATGATTTGTACAGTACAAATAATGAACATAATGAAATAATGAAATAATATTTAGGCTGCTTGACCCGACAACGACTTCTTTGCCTGGAAAATCGGCTCGCTCGAGATCCGAAGACCAAGGCAAGCTACATTACATTTATGAAAGAATATGAGGCTCTTGGTCATATGAAGGAAATGCAGACAAAAGAAATAGCAAGATCACGCTATTTCATCCCACACCATTGTGTCATAAAACCTGACAGTTTTTGATGCGTCTGTAGTTACATCGTCCGGAAAATCGCTCAACGACCTGATGCATAAAGGTCCAACAGTGCAAAAATTCAATATTTTCAATATTTCTTAGGTTCAGGATGCACAAATATGTATTTACTGCGGACATCGAAAAAATGTATCGTCAGATCTGGATCAATCCCGAGGACCAGTACTATCAGACAATAGTATGGCGCAATGATCCATCAGAAGATTTGCGATACTATAGACTAAAAAGAGAAGAAACGTGTGAGTCGCTTCTGAGGACGCGACTCTACTTATACCCGTACTGAGTCGATATATACATTTTTGAGCTTATGATTTTTTAGAATTTTAGAATTAAAAAATAAAATTTTACAGGTTACATTTTTTTGCTACATTTGTTATCTACATCTACATATACAGTGTATATTATACATCTAACATGTAGATTATACATGTACCATTTAGATTCTACATCTCCTCCGCTAGGGGTTGCTCGCGCACTGAACGAGGCAGAGTGTGCGAGCGAGAAAGAGAAAAAGTAGCGCGGTCGTTGGCAGGAGGGGGCTGGGGAACCAACAGAAAATTAATTTCTTCATTCTGGCTATAATTATGATTTGATCTGATTCAGATTCGGCAATCTGGTAGATATAGGCATTCTCTACGATACTGTCCTTCGTCCTTTGTGGGGGCAGGGTGAAATTTTGAAATACACTTGTAGCAGTGTGATATCACATGAGTCTGGATATCATATTTGGTTGCCCTAGCTCTTATAGTCTCAACAAGACGGACAGACAGACGGACAGACAGACAGACAGACGGACAGACAGACATGGCTATATCGACTCGACTATTGATGCTGATCAAGAATATATACTTTATGGGGTCGGAAAAGTTTCTTTCTCTGCGTTACACACATCCACTTTTACCACAAATTTAATATACCCCTTCACTCTTTTTTGAGTACGGGTATAAAAAACAGTGTCTTATGGAACGAAAGCGGCTACATATTTAGCCACAAAATGTCTACAATATCTCGCTCAAAGAGAAAGAAAGGAAGACCCGTTTGGAGCTGCTGCTCTGGAAAATGACTTTTATGTGGATGATTGCTTAACAGGAGTAGATTCCATACCAGAGGCCCTCCAGAGACAGCAAGAACTTAACAAACTACTGCATAAATCAGGGTTTAAGTTAAGAAAATGGTGCACGAACAACGTTCATGTGCTTCAAGGAATTCCAACGGAAGACATCACTTCAAGCGTACAATTGGAAGATACTGCTTATGAAGATTACCGCATTAGAACCCTGGGTATCACTTGGATACCTCAATCAGACCAGTTTTTTGGAAGGACAGAAATTGCCACCAAGGATGTAATATCTAGAAAAGATGTCGTATCGGAGATCTTTAAGATTTTCGATCCACTTGTACTCTTCTCCCCGGTGGTAATGAAGGCAAAGATCTTCATGCAACATCTCACAAAGGAAGGATTTGACTACAAAGAAGCGCTTCCAGTTCATCTCTAGGAGGAATGGAAAAGGTACAGGGAGGAGTTAAAAATATTAAACACCATACAAGTACCACGTCATATTTTCCATAGAGAAATTCCAATATCGTCAGAAATACACACCTTTGTTGACGCATCGGAGAAAGCATTTGGAGCTGCCGTATATATCCGAGCATTACATAAGGATAAACGAGTAACAATTCAACTGCTATGTACCAAATCACATTTAGCTCCTATAAATGTGTTAACATTACCTCGTCTGGAACTAAAGGCGGCTGTATTGGGTGCACAATTGACAGCTTAGATAAGGGAAGATTTATCCATTGAGAATGTCACATCCATTTTGTGGTCTGATTCAAGGATCGTTTTGTCACATCCATACGAAACAAATTCGTAGCTACAAAAATAGCTACAATACAGGAATTAAAATCGTACCGTACCGCCTACCGTTCAGACGTGCTTCGTGACGTGCTCCGGCCCATGATCAGATTGTGAGACACCTGCAACAACACGGAACGCCAGCTGATGCGCAACAGATAAAGAAAGAGGCTCACTAACCAGGCATTTGATACCAGACCGATACGGAAGAGCCACGGACGTATATCAGCAAATAAAAACACAGGTTGCAAACGCTGAAAACTGGAAATTCTCCTGGAAAGTGGGTAAAAGGGCCTCTTGAGTGAAAATTGACGCGGGAGAAAACACAAGTCAGTAACAAAAACAAGCCAGAGGTGGGACTGATCAGCTGCTGCAGCGACTGCACCAAGCGCTGAAAGCTTGTCAAAGCTGTTACATAACACGGATCGGAACCTGCATGCCGTAACGTAAGACAGTTTGTCCACACCATACTTTCAGGCGTCAACAAAATAATAAATTGTAAAAATATAAAAGCTTAACATACAAAAAAGAGTAGAACCACAAAAATGTCACTCCTCCAGGTGCAAAGCAGACGCAAATAAGTACCGCACTTCATAATATGCCCCCAGGTACGCCACTTAATGGAGCAGGACAGCAGGAAAAGCGAAAGAGGAGTGCGCTATCACCCGATATATCGCTGGGAGACGTGATGCAGGCCATCAACCAAATGGGCCAACGGTTCGACAAATTGGCAACAAAGGAGGATATAGGGACGTTAAAGTCCCAATTAGACTCAGTGTCCGACCAGATCGAAACTCTTAAAGCGGAGAATGAGACTCTAAAGCGCGAGTTATGATCTTTAGTGAATCGGTTAAGATTTCTTGGGAGATTTGTTGTATGGTTTGCGGAATAAAGTTCGCCCGGAGTGGTTGAGTTTCAAATGTATTCTGATTCTATATTTCGTTTTTAGGTTTTCAACTTAATTACAATTTGCTGGCCTTGCTCTTTTGGCCGGCAGAGAATCTGCTTACTCTCCATTCCTCAATCGGAACGGATGTTTGGTTGCTGAGGTCTGATATTTGTTTGTGTAAGTTGAGCCGGTGCAGCTTTGTTGCAGAGTCGACGTTGTTGACGTTAGGGCCTGCTATACTAGCCGAAGTGGTTTCTGCGGGGCGAGGGTGAGGGTAGGTGCTGAGGTGGTAACTCCTCCCCCCTCAGTCTGAGCTACCGACCATAACGGAGGAATGGTTGGTGCGAAGGTGTGCGATGGTGTGGACGTGGGGTTCGAAGTAGTTGTTGCGTAAATGGTCGTCCTTTTTGAAAAACAAACGGTGCATATTGCACCCACCAGTAGTACTCCGAGAGCTGCATACGTTGTTGTAGCCTGTATCACCATTCCGGTTCGCATTCTTCCGATTTCCAAGTTAGTTTTGATGTCCTCCATCTTGAGTTCGTGGACCCCCAATTCTTGAGTTGTTCGGTTTTTCTTCAAAGACATTATCTGTGGAATCTCAAGTTTCATGTGTCCCACTTCTAGCTGCTCTACTGACTCGCATTGGATGTTGTTAACTACTGTTCCGCAATCGTTGAAAATGATGATTGCTGACCCGCTGAATATTTCTTCTGGTCCACAATCCGTTTGTATCTTCGCTTTCTCGCCATTGAAAATTGCGATATATCCTTTTTCCGGTTCGAAAATTTCTCTGCGGAATCCTATATCTTTTGTCTCACACTCCGTTGCCTCCCCATTCATCAGACTTCTCAGACAACCTTCGTTGATTCTTATTACAATCTTGTCGTTTTTACATGTATAAAGTTCCCTTATTTGTTGGCATTTGTTCTTATAATAATACATTTTGTTGTTGTTATGAGCTACAAAATTAGGTGCTATTACAAATTCTGTCTTATTTATGGGTAATGGTAGTATTCTTTTCAGTAAATACATTTCTTTCTTAAAAATTGGTAGGCTTATTGAAAATATTATGTCGGTACCATTCATTATGGCCTTTAGCTCTAAAAATTCGTACATGTGTTCCTCTGATAATATCTGCACCCTTTGGTCTTCTAAATTCTGTGTAATTCTCTGTGATTCTTCTTTATTTAATATGAACTTGGGGATTATTCCTACCCTTGCTAATAATAGGCTTTCCGTTACTTCGTTGAGGTTCAATGCTATCATGTCTATCGTGATTGAAATTCTGTCAATGTATTCTATCCTATAAATTCTTTAGTCTTCTTCCACAAATGTTTTACTTATCCCGTTTTTATAGTTGTTAATAAAAGAGTTTACCCTAACCTGTTCTCCGTTAATATGTTGTGTTAAGTTTTTAAACATTATAATGAACCTATTGTCCATGTTCTGCCGTGTACTTATTTCTTCATTTAACCTTCCCTCCTCTTCCTGTACTCTTCTGATCTCCTGTTCTAATTTTTCCGCATCTTCTGCGTCTAGATTTCCTGTGATTGCCTTTACTACCGAACCTAATCCGTTAATCAATCCCCTCTTACTTCTCTTCTTGGGAGATATCGTTTCTATTTTTCCTTTTACCAGACTCAATTTGTTTTGAAGTGCCCTGACTAAATCCTTCGTTTCACTATCTTCTTGTATAGTCCTGAGCGTTTGCTCCAAATGGCCAACGCTCTTTACATATTCCTCTAGTCGGACTATGTGTATGAAGGTTTTATATGTTTGTATTACCCTGGCTGGTCCTTATGTGATTTGCGCGATAGGCTCATCCTCTTTAAACTCTCTGATTTCAAACGTTCCTTTCGTCTCCATCACTGCAACCCATCTGAAATTTTTATTGATCATTAGTCTTGGTCACTTTTCTAATTTTCTCCTTGTGAATTTTCTGTGGTTTTGTTGTGTTTATTGTTAAATTATTGTCGGTTGCTACCTTATGTGTGGTGAACCTTGGTGTTAGCTTGTCCCGCCTATTTTCTTTTCTAAACATCGTGTCGTTGGTGTTTACTTTTATTGGGTCCTGCCTATCTTCGTTCGCTGCTTTTATTCTTTTAACCTTTTGTTCTTCTACCCTTTCCTTTACTCTTGGGTATATTTCTGCCTAGAATGCATTAATTTTTTGGAGATAATCGTGCTCGTTACTGAATGCCACATTACCCATAAAATTTTGCGTTCTTCCAGTGAACAGCTCGTGCGGCGTAAACTTTGTTGCCGAATGAATCGAGTTGTTGTATGTAATAAATGCTTCCTTCACTATATCTTCGTGTTTTACCTCTAACTTGTTTTCCTTTTTCTCCTCTATTATTATCCTGTAAATTTCTGTTATTGTTGAATGCAATCTTTCGACTGTTGCATTGCTCGAGGACTGTTAAAAGGATGTTGTGTGCAATTCTATCTCATATTGCTTACAAAAATCCTTAAACAGATTATAAGAAAATTCCACTCCTTGATCGCAAACTATTTTACTAGGAATCCCGAAAAGCGCTATAAAGTCCCTCAATGATGTGACTACGATGTGACTGCTGTCCCTAGCTGGAATTTTGTATCCCCACGCATACCTGGAGAATTTATCGATGACCTTTAAGACGTACTTTTTGTTTACAAAGTATAAATCTATATGCACTATTTGCATTGGTTTGGCCGGGGTTTCTGTTATACTATATTTTATTTTCTGGGGTTTCCTATCGTATTTCATTTTCTGACATCTGTCGCAGTTGTTAATCGTCTGTGCTATTATTGGCTTCATATGTGGGAAGTATAAGATTCTTTTGAGGTGGATTAATGTTTCCTCTATTCCCCTATGATTATTTCTTTCATGGTGTTCTTTGACTGCCTTTTCCTGCTGGTCTCTTTCTACTATTTCTGGTAGTATAAATGTGCATCTTATGGCTTTATAAATTCTGCTGTAGGCAAAATACTTACAATAAGCATTCTGTATAACTATAACCAGCTCGTCTGGTATAAAAATTGTCACCGTTCTATTGGGCTTCAGAATCTCTTTAAGCCTGCGTCCTATTGCCTCCTCTTCGAAGTTATCCTCGGTCCATGTTATCCTAATCTTGTTCCTAAAGGGGACTTCCTTCATTATTCTAGCTGGGGTTCCCTTTTTTACTACTATTTGAATATTATAATCGTTTAGTGGTTTCTCCGATATAGGAAATCCGAGGTGTAAGTCTTCTTCTGCGGAATGTATGGTTTCCCCGTTAGTCGCTACTTCCGACATGTTTTCCAGCATGATAATCTCTGGCTGTATCCTACTCAAGGCGTCTGCCACTACGTTGAGGGACCCTTTCTTGTATAGGATTTCATAATCGTATTCTAGCAATTGCAGTTTCCACCTAACCAACTTTGAATCTGGTTCTTTTATGCTCATTAGCCACGTCAGCGGTCTGTGGTCTGTGACTATTTTAAATCTCTGTCCGAATAGATAGTGTCTGAAGTGCTTTATTGCCCAAATAATAGCAAGCATCTCCTTTTCTATCGTTGCGTAGTTTATTTCCGCGTCTGACAATGTTCTATTAGCATACGCCAACGGTCTGTCCGCTCCCAAGTGTCCTTGGGACAGGACAGCTCCTACGGCATAATTGCTTGCATCTGTTGTAAGAATAAATGGTTTCGAGAAGTCGGGAAACTGCAAAATGGGGTCGTTACACAGCAGTGTTTTACATGTTTCGAATGTTTCTGTGAATTTTGAGTCAATTTGTACTGGTTTTTTCCCTTTTAGCTGCCTCGTTAGTGGTTTTGTTATGGCCGCGAAATCCTTTACGAACTTCCTGTAATATCCTAAAAGTCCCAAGAATGATTTTATTTGTTTCCTAGTCCTTGGGATTGGAAACCTTTTTATTGTTTCTATCTTCTTGGGATTCGGTTTAACTCCCTCTAAGGTTACTACATGACCTAAGTATTCTACCTCCTTTCTCAAAAATTCTGTCTTGTCTAATTGTAGTTTGAAGTTAGCGTTGTCTAATTTTGCGAACACTCTGTTCAAGTCGCTCATGTGCTCTTGTAAGGATGCGGAGTACACCATGATGTCATCCATATATACATGGCAACATTTCCCCAACAGCTCCCCGAAAAGGTTATTCATCAATCTCTGGAACGTCGCTGGGGCATTCTCACATATTCAAAGTGACCTCCTTCCGCGGAGAATGCTGTCTTCGGTATATCCTTTTCCTCTACCTCGATCTGATGATACCCGCTCGCCAAGTCTAGCGTCGAAAAGTATTTGGCTCTTCCTAAACCATCCAATACGTCATTTATTATTGGCATGGGGTACCTGTCCTTAATCAGTTTTTCATTGAGTTTCCTATAATCGACTACCATTCTCCATTTTCTCTGCCCTGACGCGTCCTTCTTTTTGGCCACCAGCCACACTGGGGCACTCCATGGGGAGTGACTGTGTCTAATGATCTTTTGTTCCAGCAAGTTTTCTATTTGTCCTTTCACCTCCTGTCTCTCCGTGAATGCGTATCTATATGGCTTTGAGTACACCGGGATATCGTCCGTTGTCCTCACCTGATGTTTGACAACGTTTGTGAACGACAAGTCCTCTCCCTCCATATAAAATGCCGATGGGTATTTTTTACATAGTCTTTTTAATTCAGTGATTTCTTCCTCATTCAAATGATCTGTTCTTATCTTATGAAACGGAATTCCTTTATTCCCTATATCTTTTCTGCTTTCTATGTTATTTATTTCTATATGCTCTTCAGCTTTGAGTTCTGAAACCACTAGTGGTTCCTCTAGAAACAATTCCTGGTCCTCTTCTGAATAGTTGGTTATCTCTACCAGACTCTGTCCTGCTGTTGCCTTATACAGGCCTTCTGATATTTCCATATTAGGTTTTACTTTCGTTTTGTTAATTAAGAACTCCCCATCCTGTAACTGTACCGGCACCTGTATAACCCTTTTTGTGCCCGCTTCTATCGTATATACCTCCGTTGCTCTGTATTGCGTCTGCCATATCTGTGTTTCTGTCGTCGCTGTACGCAGTTGTCGTTTGTCTACATCGATTACCACTCCTATTTGTTGTAGTATGTCTATTCCTACCAGTCCATCGAAAAACTGATGAAACTTAAAGAGGAGCAGTCTCATCTCTCCTACTCCTCCCAGTTCTCTGAACATGGCTAAGACTGTCACCTTCTGAACTTCGTGGGATCGTACGATTGTTTTTATTTTTATTGTTTCTTTTAATCTTCTAATGTGTTCTGCGGGTATTAATTCCGGTAATATGAAAGAAAATGTGGATCCTGTGTCTATAAGCATTTTAATATTTTTGTCTGCTGCTAGCCTAACCACTATATAGGGTAGGGTCGACTGATTCTTCTTTCCTCCTAAGTACCCTGTGCTTTGTTCGAGGCTGTCTGGAGAAAATTTCCGTCCTCTTCCTGAATATTGTGTAGCTGACCAACTGCAGCTGCTTGTCCGCTAACTCTAGTTGAGGTACTAGGCGTCTGCTGTGCTGCATACGACTGTCTGGAATTATTGGAGTTATATGACTGCCCTGTGTTATTTGTCATTCTAGACATCCTCGACTGTCCACTTCTCCCTGCGTCTTGTGGTGCCTGGAAAGCTAATTGCTCTTGGCGATTGTTCTGGCCCCAACGCCTTCCATTGTTCTGTTGGTCATAGCCCCATCTAGGGTTCCTATTCTGCTGGTTCCGATATGGACCCCTAGTGTACCCTGCTTGTTCGTTCTGCATAAAGGGAGCTCCCCTGAAGGGGTTTCCTCCCATTGGGTAGACGAACCCAAAACCTGGCCATCCGCTCCCATCAGTCATTGGGAACGGCATACCGAACGATGATTGTCCGTTCCCTCCCCATTGGTACTGTGGCCAACTTGGCGTTTCCCGGTGCGCCCCTGGCGTCTGAGTTTCTTTCCTGTCGTGCTCTTGCACCAAAGGTTCTTTAGTTTCCTTAGTCTGGTTCCCTGTTATCGGGTGCTCTTTTACCTCCTGTTCCGGCTCGTCTAGAGTATAGACATTCTTCTCTCTACAGGCTACTTCGTATGCCTTTGAAATGTCATCTACATGGATATTCCTAATTGTTAGGACCCTATCGGCCCTTTTATTGCCGAGAGGAAGGCGTTTAGTGCTATGTCTTCGTACCACTTGGTTCTTTCCTTCCTTAGCACCGAGTTCGGTTCTTTCACCTTACCCAAGCTGACGAGGGCCTTTCTTAACTCCAACACTTTTTGATATAGTGGCTCTAAGTCCAACTTTTTCTCCTTTATGTGTGTAAGTTCCATGATTAAATCCTGCTCGGATCTTTTATCTCTAAAATGAGACACCAATGCCTTCTTAATGTTGTCCCAATTCAAATCTACCTCATTCAACTCCAATGCCCTATCTGCCGCTCCTATTACCTTGCTTCTTATGGCCCTAAGGGCTATAACTCCTACCGATGACCTTTCCTCTCCTTTTATAAGGCCTAATATCTGTTCTACCGCTGATATAAACCCATCTAACTTCTCCACACTTCCTTCATACTTTGGTAAAATCTCCACTAACTCTATGACTCGAACCGCTTCGAGCAATTTTGTGTTGCTGGGTTGGGTCATTTCTAATTGTCCCTGGTTCTCGTCACTAACTGCTGAAGCCTCCGTGTCTACCGGAATAACCCTTTGTCTACTGCTTTCCTTTGACATATAGTCTATTTCGATTATTTTCTTTTCTTATTTTACGTATTTTATAGTGTTTGTGTGTATAGTGATTTGTGTAAGGTGTGTATCGTATCTTAATTATAATGTGTGCTTGTGTAATTCTATAGTGTGTGTTACTTAAGTGTTTATACTAGATCGAGTTTGTCCTTGTGTGTCCTTGTGTTCGTGAAATGGAGTCTGCAATTGATTAAAATGAGTATCTTTCCGATCGTACTTTTCTAATGACATGGTGTGCCGTGAAATGGTTTATTCTTCATTTATAGTTATTCGATCGCCTTATGTGCGTCTTTTTATTTACTTTGTGGCTTTACCTTACACGCTGAAGCTAGTCACAATACTGTGCGTTACAGTATCTGTAACCAATTGCGGACAGTCGTGTCTCCCTGGTAGCGTTTCCCTGTTCCATCTGCCTGTCACCCCTATGCTAGGCGTCCGCACTGTGCGTTACAGTACTTTGCCCTACGCATGTGAGTGACTTGGATTGCGTATCTTTTAATTTGTATCGCCTCCTTCGCGGAGTCTTGGCCATCACCATTTTCGGTGTTTTATTCATTGTCTTTTGTGCCCTTTATCTTTTCGTGCCGGCCCTGTCTCTATGTTGTGTGTGTGTGTGTGTCTTCGACCGTTCGATGCTCGACTCGACCCGACAGAGTGTTTAGCGTTGCCTCCGTCGAACCAAACCGTCGCTGCTGTAGTCCCCTCCAACGACCCGATCATTGGCACAATTACTCGTACCCACGACTCTATGATCGTATCGGCCCCTCGGCTTGACGTCGAACCGACAGCAACTGCCCGACTCACCGTCGAACCGCATCCGCTCGAACCGCACTCGGTCGAACCGCAGCCGATCGAACCGCAACGATCGACCCACCGCCGCTCGAACCTCGCACGATCGAACCGCTCCCTCTCGAGCCGCCGTCCACCGACATTTTTCCACGACACTTTTGCACTCTTTTCTCCTCACTCCTCTCTGACAATTTATTTGCAATAATTATGCTCGTTTTGGTCCGAATAACTCGAATCTCCACTACCCTGGCCAACGTGCCATACTATCTCTCTTTTAATGATTGCCCACTTCACTGCTCACCATTGTATTCCCGTACTTTTCGTTCTCACAATTTGAGGGTTTATTACATTTTATTTCTTTATTTTTATACACGTACTCAAAAAAGAGTTAAGGGGTATATTAGATTTGTGGTAAAAGTGGATGTGTGCAACGCAGAGAAGGAAACGTTTCCGACCCCATAAAGTATATATATTCTTGATCAGCATCAATAGCCGAGTCGATATAGCCATGTCCGTCTGTCCGTCCGTCTGTCCGTCCGTCGTCCGTCCGTCCGTCCGTCCGTCTGTCCGTCTGTCCGTCTTGATGAGCGCCTAGATCTGAGAGACTATAAGAGCTAGAGAAACCAAATTTGGTTTCCAGACTCATGTGATATCACACTGCTACAAGTGTATTTCAAAATTTCGCCCCGCCCCCTTCCGCCCCCACAAAGGACGAAAATCTGTGGCAGGCACATTTTTAAAGATACGATAAAACTAAAAACGCATTATCGTAGAAAATCATATCTACCAGACTGCCGAATCTGAATCAGATCGGATCATAATTATAGCCAGAATGAAGAAATTAATTTTCAGATGCTTCCCGTGCCCCCTACCGCAAACGACAACGCAACTCATTTTCCTTCTCGCTCGCACACTTGCCGCGTTCAGTGCGCGAGCAACCCCTAGCGTAGGAGATGTAGAATCTAAATGGAATATGTACATTGTACAATCTACATGTTAGATGTAGAATATACATTGTAGATGTAGATGTAGATATCAGATTTAGGAAAAAAATTTAAAATGTAAAATTTTTTTTTTAATTCTAAAATTCTAAAAAATCATATGCTCAAAAATGTATATACTGACTGAGTACGGGTATAAGTAGAGTCGCGTCCCCAGAAGCGACTCGCACGTTCCTTCTCGTTTTGTTTTATTTTCTCCTCCATTTCACGTCACTCTACTCACACGTACATATTTTCTGATATCTTTCCTTACAGGATTGTTAGTGTCGCTATTTTCCAATACATCTCGTGCGTGGTTCTCTCTCGCTGTCTCGGTCCTCTAGGGTCCTACTTCTTCCAGATTTCCGTCCTTTAACGAGAGTGTCCGACTGCGCCAGTTATAATCTTTGTGAATCGGTTAAGATTTCTTGGGAGATTTGGTGTATGAGGTGGTTTGCGGAATAAAGTACGCCCGGAGTGGTTAAGTTTCAAATGTATTCTGATTCTATATTTCGTTTTTAGGTTTTCAACTTAATTACAATTTGCTGGCCTTGCTCTTTTGGCCGGCAGAGAATCTGCTTACTCTCCATTCCTCAATCGGAACGGATGTTTGGTTGCTGAGGTCTGATATTTGTTTGTGTAAGTTGAGCCGGTGCAACTTTGTTGCAGAGTCGACGTTGTTGACGTTAGGGCCTGCTATACTAGCCGAAGTGGTTTCTGCGGGGCGAGGGTGAGGGTAGGTGCTGAGGTGGTAACTCGCGATTTCCAGCAATTAAAAAGCGACAGAGAGCAGGACCGAAAGGAGCTTAGCAGACTGGAGCAAAGCAGCAAGGCCCGGAACTTAATTTTCAAAGGCCTAGAGAAGGAAGATGCTACAAAGGAGGGAGTGGAAAAATTGCTACGGGGTAAAATGGCGATCTCGAACGCATCAGTACGAGAAACTCGAGTGCTCTACCAAAGAAACAATAATACGGGAGTGCTGGTGGAAATGGAGAATTCTTCGGCGATAAATGAGGTATTAAAAAATGGAAAAAAGCTAGCGGGTAGTTCAGTCTATATTGACAGAGACCTTAGCCAACAGCAGCAAGAAAACAAGCTGGCCCTAATGCAGTTGAAAAAGGAGCTGGTTTCCATAAACAAGAACCATAAGGCCTTCGTCAAAAATGACCAGATCTATGTAGAGGGCAAATGGGTGTCCTTTAACAACGCCCACGTGCTCACTTGCAAAGGAAAGCCAGCTAACTCGATTCTAAAGGAACTCTATGGCGCTGCATTGGATGAAACCGACATTACTCACACGCGACTTCTCACCAAAGCCAGGGAATCAAAAAACTAGAACGGCAAATACTCAAAACAGCATACACATTAATATATTGTCATACAACATCGCAGGTTTAGCAAATAAGCTTATCTTTAGTCAATTTTTATACCCGTACTCAAAAAAGAGTTAAGGGGTATATTAGATTTGTGGTAAAAGTGGATGTGTGTAACGCAGAGAAGGAAACGTTTCCGACCCCATAAAGTATATATATTCTTGATCAGCATCAATAGCCGAGTCGATATAGCCATGTCTGTCTGTCCGTCTGTCCGTCTGTCTGTCTTGTTGAGCGCCTAGATCTCAGAGACTATAAGAGCTAGGGCAACCAAATTTGGTTTCCAGACTTATGTGATATCCCACTGCTACAAGTGTATTTCAAAATTTCGCCCCGCCTCCTTCCGCCCCCACAAAGGACGAAAATCTGTGACAGGCACAATTTTAAAGATACGATAAAACTAAAAACGCAGTATCGTAGAGAATGACCATATCTACCAGACTGCCGAATCTGAATCAGATCGGATCATAATTATAGCCAGAATGAAGAAATTAATTTTCAGTTGCTTCCCCTCCCCCTCCCGGTCCAGACAACGCAACTCATTTTCCTTCTCGCTCGCACACGCTGCCGCGTTCAGTGCGCGAGCAACCCCTAGCGGAGGAGATGTAGAATATGAATGGAACATGTACAATCTACATGTTAGATGTAGAATAGACATTGTAGATGAGATGTAGATAGCAGATGTAGCAAAAAAATGTAAAATGTAAATTTTTTTTTTTTTTTCTAAAATTCTAAAAAATTATAAGCTCAATAATGTATATACTGACTGAGTACGGGTATAAGTAGAGTCGTGTCCCCAGAAACGACTCACACGTTCCTTCTCGTTTTAATTTATAAATACTTATCAAATATTTTTCCAATACGTAACATTTTTCTACCAAAACATGCAGCAGTACGAACCATACTTCCCAAATCATATTCTGTCATGAGAGCCAGCCGTAAGAACGGCAGCTAGAGGAAGAGCAAGTGGTGGCCAACTTAGAGGCATCCACACAGACTTAGTCGCATCAACCCGACCTCAACTGCAATGGCTGGCAAGGCTATTATGATCAACTACGCGACATGATCCAAGAGTCCACGAGTTCTAGTGTAATGGTCGTGGGTGACCTTAATGCTAGAATAGGAACACATCAGTGCACCCCTGTGAGTAAAGACCACGCAGGAAAATTCGAAATGCTCATTAGGGCAGCAAAGGATCTTAAAGTAGACACCAATGGCAAGAATGTAATAGAGATGTGCGAGGACAACAGCTTCACGGTCCTTAACGGCAGAACGCAAAGCGACGGGGACGGAAGGTACACCTTCATGAGAGGCCAAGCGGTGTCCACAATAGACTACTGTCTTATCAATGGCATGTGGCATAATCGCATTGAAGATATGCAAGTAGTGCCCGAAACTTTCTCGGACCACTTACCGCTAGCTATACAAATCGACCTTCACGCACAACCCAATCCACACGACAACAAACTGCTCCCGAAACTGCAATGGAACGATAGGTACCGCCAGCAGTACAGAGCCCAACTCAAACAGAAAAGCGAACGGCAAGACTGCCAACCCGAAGCACCTAATATTGAGACCCTAACAAACTGGATAAAGATAGCGGCAGCCTGCATGCAAAAACCCGCCCACTATACAAGAAAACAGATCATATTGAAACGGTCACTTCACACAGGCAATGCGGATGAGAAGCGGGAGTACCAAGAAGCGAACACAGCCTTCAAAACAATGTGCAGAAAAAAAAGGACGACCACTATAGGAATATGGAGCTTGAAGTAAATAATATTAAAGATAGCAAGGGTTTCTGGGAGTTTGTCAGGAGGTTGAATGGGATCAACAGGAGCATGCAAATCAGAGTTGAACCGGACAGCTTGGCGCAGCATTTTAAAAATCTACTCCTACAGGACAGCCAAGCGATATTGCACTATTTTGCTTTGCCATACACCGTAAATAGAGAGCTAGACCTGGAAATATCGCAGTGGGAAGTCAAGGCAGCAGTGAACAAGAGCAAAAACTGTAAAGCCCCCGGAATCGAGCGGATACCAGCAGAATTCCTAAAAAACGCACCTGATGTCGCTGATGCAGCGAACTATAGGGGGATATCCTTCCTTACTTCGACTATGAAGGTGTTCGCATCAATAGTGCTTTCGCGTCTTAATGACTGGGTAGAAAAGAATGGTGTGCTCAGCGAATACCAAGCAGGGTTTAGAAGAGGTTACAGCACAGTGGACAGCATTTTCGTGCTGGTGGCTATAGCAAAAGAGTACAAGAGGCGAAACCAGAAGATGTACACCTGCTACATAGACTTTAAAGCGGCTTTCGACACCATCGACCGACATAGCTTATTTTTAAAACTTAGCTTGGACGGAGTATCAACAAAAATTTTGAACATACTAAAATGTCTCTACAGCGATAAACCGGCCGCGGTCTGGAACGGAAATAATCTGTCAGAATGGTTCTTATGCAACCTGGGAGTAAAGCAATGATGTCTCCTAAGCCCACTGCTATATGTCCGTGGACGACATATACGACATATCGTACATATAGGAACGGAAAACATCAAGGTACTTATGTACGCAGACGACATGGTAATCTTGGCAGAATCGCACACCATGCTGCAAGAAATGATCGACACCATGCAAAATTATTGCCAAACTTGGGGCCTAAGAATCAACGCCGAAAAAACAAAAGTCATGGTGATAAAAGATGGCAGAGGCCGCAAGGCACAGCACGAAACGTGGACCCTCAATGGAGAGATACTGGAAATGGTCCGTGAGTTTAAGTACCTTGGAGTCACACTAACTCAAAATATGAGCTTTGAGAAGTATGTGAAAAACAAGCTAGCGGACGTAAAGGTTGCTTTAAATTGCACATGGAAACAGCTGCTTGGCAAAAGAAAAGTTTCTCCGAGCACAAAATATAAAATATACATGGCAACAGCACAAACTATAATGGGCTATGCAGCGGAAGTTTGGGGACACGAGCGCTATAAAGCAACAGAAAAACTCCTGCGATTTTATATTAAAAAAATCTTTACACTTCCACAAAACACGCCGACGTACGCAATCCAACTGGAAACTGGTCTCTCGGCAGTATTTATATATACGCTGCAAAAACATTTCAGCTATGCAACCAAAGTGGTGGATATGCCTGACGATCGACTCCCAAGCAAGGTACTTAAGTATGTGACAAACCACAAAACCGATTTCATCGCGAGCTGGGAAGCGATAGCAAACGTCCGGGTAATTTCCATAGATTCTCAAAACCCTGCATTGTGGAGAACATGGCATGACCAGATCATCAGAGCCACAGACGAGGCGGATAGACAAGCGTGGGCACAACGAGCTAGTGAAAGCGTATCAAGGTCTCTATACAGTAGCCTTGCCCATAATCTGGTAGACTACTATTTCACAGATAGCATAGATGCATCTTCAGAGAACGCACAAAAACTCTACCACTTAACGCGTCCCCATACAGAAATCTCTCTGCAGCAGAGTGCACGCTGTGCAATATGCACGCACCGGAGGATACGATGCACTTTCTGGCGACATGTCCCATCCTAAAGGAGATCAGAGTAAAACACTGCGGTAGTCCAACTCTAACAGTCCTGGGCTTGACTGCCCTGCTCAACGGAACGGGCTGGCACGAACTGGCACATTTCGTTAAGGAAATGTTGCTTTACAGAGAGAATGTATTGATAGAGCGGTTTTACAGTAGGCGAAAATATCTTAAATAAAATTAAGTAACAATATTAATAGGGCGAACGGCATCCCGCCAACAGAATAGTTCGAAAATTTAATTTAATTATTTATATTTATCCTTAATACAAATTAAAAAATAAAGAATTACTACTACTACACGAATTAACAATACAAAGGCATTGGAGGCATGTTTCATCTGAAGATAATGCAGCAGATGTACTGTCTAGAGGAATGACGTCGACTAAATTCGCGAAAAATAGTATGTGTTTTTATGGCCCAGGAGGATGATATAATATACAAAATAAAGCACAACAACTCATACAACAAACTAATAAGAATAATTGCTTACATGATGCGTTTCCGAGGAAGGAAAACGTACACAAGCAAAACCATCCAATTCAATGAGATGAAAGAAGCTCAGAATATTGTCATTCGTAACATACAACAGAATGATTTCAAAGAGGACATACGTCACTTACTAAGACATAAGGAAACGCAAAAGGGAAGTTCGATTAACTCGCTTACACCGTTTATGGATCAGGAGGGAATCTTGCGAGTAGGTGGTTGATTGGAAGCGGCAAATATTTCATTTGACGCCAAACACCCAATGCTCCTGCCTTACAACGATCCAATTGTCAAGTTGATCCTTGCTAAAATACACAAGGACAACATGCATTGTGGCCCCCAGGCATTGCTGACATCACGGAAACCATTTTGGATACTTAAAGGAAAAAAAACATGGCCAGAAGCATTGTGCAGAGCTGTGTAAAGTGCACGAGTGCACTTCTTCTAGTGACACAAGCAAGGCCATTCCTCAATTCTGGAGTTAATTACTGTGGACCATTTAAAATCCACTATAAAATACGAGGAAAGAAGCCTAATACAGCATACATAGCCATATTTTGTTGTTTCGCGACTAAAGCAGTACATTTAGAGCTAGTCAGCGATCTCACCACAGAAGCATTTTTAGCGGCACTTCGACGGTTCATCTCTCGTCGAGGAAAATGTCAAGTACTCCATTGCGACAATGCTACAAATTTCGTAGGAGCCAGGAACAAACTGCAAGAGTTAAAAAAGGCTATATTCTCAGAAAAGGCAAAGGATCAAATTGTACAGGAGTGCAACAACAAAGGGGTACAGTTCAAATTTATACCTCCTCGTGCACCACACTTCGGCGGTTTATGGGAAGCTGCAGTAAAATCTGCAAAGCAACTGCTTTTAAAAAATGTGACGACGGAAAATTTAACATATGAGGAATTAGACTTCCTGATGGGAGAGCCCTAACCGCACAAACCGACAGTGAGCCATCCCAACAACCGAAGACGCTAGGAAATTGAAACACTCATTCTGGACGCAATGGTCCAACGAATACCTACAACATCTACAACAGCGTCAAAAGTGGAGGAAATCGTCGGCGAACATTAAAGAAGCAACATTGGTAATATTAAAGGAAGATAATAAACCGGTATTACAATGGCCACTTGGAAGAATCACTCGATTGTTTCATGACAGGGACAATTTCGGACGAGTGATTGAAGTAAAAACAGGCAAGAGAATCTTCAAACGAGAGATTCAGCATGTTGCTCCACTGTTCAACGAAGAGGAACCCACACATAAACATCCGATAGATGATCCATCAGAAAATGGAGAGGCATCTGAAGACAGACAGCCTAGAAAATGAACACAGCCGAATAGACTGTCGATAACCATGACAATGTTTGTCATATTATTACTTTTACCGTTAGCAATGGCGCAATCAATCAACATAACCCAGTTTGGATCCAAACCGGATATATACTTCGAAAGAGTAGGATCCAGCCAATTTGCGACAACTGACTGGACCATCATTGTCTATTACAACCTCAAGCCTTATTGGAAAGACATAACACACCATGGGTACTACAAAAGTAGACTACAAGTAGACGCATGCACCAGTATGTATAAACATTTCAAACATATATTCAAACATATATAGGACCTGAAAGCTGAAAATAATTTATTAGCAAGGCCACGGAAACAAAGAGCTCCGCTGGACATCATTGGAAACATCGCAAGCAGTCTGTTTGGCGTATTAGACTCAACATATGCCCGTGACATGTCGGAAACGATAGCAAAGGTTAAGATAAGGAGAATCACCTACTAACTCTGCTTAAAAATCAGACATCATTGATTGACTCTACAATTAATGTAATAAAACGGGATGAAATATCAAACTCCAAAAGACTAAGTCGAGTTGAGGACTTTATCACCGAGTCAAAGGGAAGAGCTGATCACTTCATCGCTTTTCAATGTTACTTAGCATTATCTACGCAGTTGACTCTATTATCTGCAAACCTTCAACGAATGCAAGCAGAAATCATCAATGTCTTGACAGATATCCACACAACACAATTGGCCCTATGCTAATATCAGCACGACAACTAAAGGAACAACTAGAACAGATACGTGATCATTTAAGGCCAGGACAAGCACTTCCAGTGACTCCCGCCAATATGCTCATGGTTTACCAAATGATGAAAGCTGAAGGCACAATAATAGATGATCATGCAATCATCAAGGTGACATTTCCATTAGTGTCAGCAAACAAACTTGAAATATACAAGTTAAAGCCGATCCCGGTGACAAATAAAAATGAGATAAGCATGTTTGAAATAAAAACACTATATATGGCAATCAACAGTCATCGAGACGAGTTCATTGAACTATCAGAGAGTGAATTCAAAAACTGTCATCAAGAAGCAAACAGTGACTTTGTGTGCTACAATAAACAAACCATGTTCTCAGCCGAAACAAGTTGTGAACTACAAATGTTTCACAATAAAACGGATTCATCGTGTCACCTAGTCAACAAGAAAGGATCGTATCTTATGCTAGCGCCCCTAGTGGTCATAATCGGCGGTGCAAGGTGGCAACGATCGGGAGTGAGAGAAGTGTAGCTACCTATTTATGTTCATTATTTGGAAATGGCGGATGCGGCACTTTCGCTGTTATCAGGTTCTGGTAGGTGCGCCCAGCGACGGTCATGGTCTTTTCTATGCTGGCTCCCACCCGAAGAGGTTACGTCGCTAGTACAAATCAATTAAATAGCGACTACCTTAATCCGCGCCGAGGTAAACTCACAGTGTTTCTGCCCGATATTTAAAATAAAACAAGATCGAAGCAATTATAAAGTGAACAAAAGTGTGGAGCAGCAACTAGATACCAAGTGGAAATAACAAGAGTGTCAATCGCCAATAAGCGGTAAGTCGGCCAGTTTTTATTCCAGTAGAATTGTTGGGCAACCATTTTTATACCCGTACTCAAAAAAGAGTTAAGGGGTATATTAGATTTGTGGTAAAAGTGGATGTGTGTAACGCAGAGAAGGAAACGTTTCCGACCCCATAAAGTATATATATTCTTGATCAGCATCAATAGCCGAGTCGATATAGCCATGTCTGTCTGTCCGTCTGTCCGTCTGTCTGTCTGTCTGTCTGTCTGTCTGTCTGTCTGTCTTGTTGAGCGCCTAGATCTCAGAGACTATAAGAGCTAGGGCAACCAAATTTGGTTTCCAGACTCATGTAATATCCCACTGCTACAAGTGTATTTCAAAATTTCGCCCCGCCCCCTTCCGCCCACACAAAAGACGAAAATCTGTGGCAGGCACATTTTTAAAGATACGATAAAACTAAAACCGCAGTATCGTAGAGAATGCCCATATCTACCAGACTGCCGAATCTGATCCAGATCGGATTATAATTATAGCCAGAATGAAGAAATTAATTTTCAGTTGCTTCCCCTCCCCCTCCCGACACGACAACGCATCTCATTTTCCTTCTCGCTCGCACACTCTGCCGCGTTCAGTGCGCGAGCAACCCCTAGCGGAGGAGATGTAGAATCTAAATGGAACATGTACAATCTACATGTTAGATGTAGAATAGACATTGTATATGTATATGTAGATAGCAGATGTAGCAAAAAAATGTAAGATGTAAAATTTTTTTTTTCTAAAATTCAAAAAAATCATAAGCTCAAAAATGTATATACTGACTGAGTACGGGTATAAGTAGAGTCGTGTCCCCAGAAACGACTCACACGTTCCTTCTCGTTTTTTATGTGCAATTGCAGAATTGGCACTTAGTGCAATTTTAAATTCGAATTGCCCAGTACATCGCTGGCTCATTAGCAGCTGACTCCAAGTAACTAAAAGAGATCGCTTCGCCGACTAAAACCAGCAACAAAGCAGCTGGCATGCAGACGGCTGAGCGGGAATTCGCCGCATTCCATTCCTTGCTGTGTGACACTCATACCCTACCGTTGCACTTTGGAATTGTGATACTTTCAAATATAAGTTCACTCCCAGGGCAACCTATGTTTTTCCCGCTATCACTGTTGTTTCCTATAGAATATTGGTAGCAGGAGTTAAGTGAGCTACCTTTTTGTTACCACTAACCGCTTCAATTTCGTTCTATACTATTTTTGTTTTGTTTTCTCTCGTATTCTCTTCTATTTTGACTAGCACATACAAGATAAGCTGATACAAACCGTTACAGCCATATGAAAACGATCGCATGGCCCCCATACATTTTTATGAATATTTTTTTTTTCTTTTATTTTTTTTGTTTTATTACCGACTAATCTCAGCATTATTAATAATAAATAAACTCAATTACTCGATTCGAGAGAAATGCCTTGTAACCGGAGCCCAGAAAAGTTCATTAATCTGAAAGACACTGAGACGCTTTGCTATTTGTGTTCGAAAAACATCGTTAATAAAGATCTAGCATTGGTGACGAGTTGTGGTCACACCTTCCACCCAGAGTGCTTTAATTCAGCCAATGGACAAAGAAAACGTTGTCCAGTGTGCAAACAGGCCTTAGAAGTAGGAAGCTCAACGTCCATATCAAATCTTAACACCGCACGGGCATCAACTTCGAATTATAGAGCACCTTCAGTCGCTCAGTCACTTCTTACTAGATCGAAAGCCAAACAAATCGAAGGTGCAACCATGTCTGACCCTGCAAATGATCAGGAGAATGTAGAGGCTTCCACCCCGTCTTCGGCTAACAGAGCTACGAGGGATGTATTGCAAACAGTATTGGCTAGCACGATATCAGCTGAAATGGCAAAGCAAACTCTAGCTATGACCTCAGCATTGGCCCAGTTAACCGATAGATTAACACAAGCTATTAGTCTAGGCTTACAAGCCAGTTCGACTGCTTCAGCTAGAGAGGGATCTCCAATCGGAATGGAACAGATGCCAACAGTGACACACGTTGAGCAGCAGAATCTTCAGCAACTGTTGTCCAATTTACAGTCTCATTCAGCTTCTGTTCAAGCAGGGGAATCTGATCGAAGATCCAGTCAGACTCCACTAGCTTTTGAGGTGCGTCCCGACCGCATAAGTCAGATAATGGCAAATTGGAAGTTGCGATTTAACGGGAAGGATTCGATGTCTATAGATAACTTCATTTATAGAGTCGAAGCCTTGACCCATCAAACCCTGAATGGGAATTTTGAATTGGTTGCTCGCCATTCTAGCAACTTATTTGAGGGCAAGGCTAGTGAATGGTACTGGAGATACCACAAAAGTGTATCTCAGATTCGTCGGTATGACTTGTGTTTGGCTCTAAAAGGGCAATTTAAAGATTCTCGCACTGATCGCATAATACGTACTGAAATCGAAGAACGTAAACAGCGTTCCAATGAATCGTTTGACGATTTCTACAGCGTGATCGCCTCCTTGGCAGATAAGCTCACACACCCATTGTCAGAGATGTCTTTATTAGAGACTTTACGGGCTAATCTGCTTACTGAGGTTCAGCAAGAAATTCTGTACGAACCGGCAACCACAATTGCTCAATTGCGACATCTTGTGCGAACCCGAGAAATTTTTATGCAAACGGTACACAAACCGTCCGTGGCCATACGGAAGCCAAAATATCGGAATATTAGTGCGTAGCAAACAGACTACGTTTCTGAGTCGGAGATTTCGGATAATGAAGAGTTGGATTTAGCTGCCATTGAGGCTTCTTGTTGGAATTGTGAGGCGAAGGGCCACCGTTACCAGGAGTGTTTAGCAGAACGGCGAGTTTTCTGTTTTGGCTGCGGAAAGGCTGACACGTATAAGCCTAGCTGTCGCCGTTGCAGCTTAAATTCCACAAAAACCTCAGCAGCGCGTGCACCGCAGAGAAGTGCACGCAAACAGTTTGTCTCGAAGGGGACGAATACCGATTAGATGGTACTCAACAATTGTTACATAAACTAATACCTGCCACGTCAAACCACGATTTAAAACCTTTCATTGATCATTATACTCCCTTCCAAAGTATAACTCGTTCCCGATTACGTAGAATCGCCTTTAATCGTAAAAATAGGTCTGAACGCAAGATGCTATTAGAGACGGTAATTGGGAAACCTCATGATTTACGACCGTATGCTCAAGTCACCTTACTAGGTAAAACAGTTGTTGGATTGTTGGACACGGGAGCTTCGGTGTGCTGCATTGGCGGACAGTTTTCTAAAGACGTGATAGAGACAACAACATATAAGCGGTTGTCGGCCTCAGTGAAAACGGCAGATGGTAAATCGCAGGACATAATTGGTCGCCTGACTACTGAGGTAGACTATCGAGGCGAATCCCGGAAAATTACCTTCTTTCTAGTCCCCTCCTTGTCTGGAGACTTGTATCTAGGTATATACTTATGGACGGCATATCAATTGCTTCCAAATTCTCTCTAAATTGAACAGCTTTCTGTTTCGTCTTTGAGCGACCCTTTAAGTAGGTCATTAACTGAACAACAACAGCAATTCCTAGCAAAAACTATGCGCCAGTTTCCTTCGTTCGCTATAAAAGGTTTGGGACGCACTACCTTAATATCGCATTCGATTGATGTGGCGGACGCCAAACCAATTAAGCAGCGTCATTATCCCGTTTCACCCGCGATAGAAAAATCGATGTACGACGAGTTAGATCGTATGCTGAGTCTGGGCGTCATCGAAGAATCGAACAGTAGTTGGTCCTCACCAGTCGTGCTAGTGCGCAAGCCTGGCAAAGTTCGATTATGTATTGATAGCAGAAAAGTTAATGACCTTACAGTAAAGGATGCCTACCCCATGCCACTTATTGATGGTATTCTGGCAAGATTACCCAAAGCCGAGTTCATTACGAGCTTAGATCTTAAAGACGCCTTTTGGCAAATACCTCTTGATATTAAATCGCGCGATAAAACAGCCTTTACGGTTCCTGGCAGACCCCTTTACCAGTTTACAGTGATGCCATTTGGGTTAACCAATTCACCTCATACCATGTCAAGGCTCATGGATAAAATTATTCCAGCCAACTTGCGTAATGAAGTTTTCATCTACCTGGATGACGTCTTGATCGTGTCTGACACCTTTGAGCGGCATATGGAAGTATTGGGGATTGTAGCTAACCAATTAAAGATAGCCAATTTGACCATAAATGTGGAAAAAAGTCATTTCTGCCGGAAAGAGGTCAAGTATTTAGGCCACGTAATTGGCAATGGCACCATTAGTACCGATCCAGAGAAAATCCTAGCTATTACCGACTTCCCGGTACCTCGATCGATTAAGCAAGTTCGTCGTTTCCTTGGCCTAACTGGATGGTATCATAAATTTATCCAGAACTACGCTGCACTAGCGGCCGCTTTAACTGATACCTTAAAGCAGAAGCGTAGTTTTGGTTGGAGCGAAGAAGCCCAAAAAGCGGTTCGAGTTGTTAAAAGAGCATATGAGTACAGCTCCGGTGTTAAATAGCCCGAATTTTAACATACCCTTTAGCATACATTGTGATGCAAGTAACACCGGCGTAGGAGCCGTTTTGATGCAAAACACGGAGGATAATGAGGAAGTTCCTGTAGCCTTTATGTTCCGGAAGCTAAATAAATGCCAAAGAAACTACACAGTTACCGAAAAAGAGTGTTTAGCAGCAGTTTTAGCGGTTAAGAAGTTTAGGGCATATATCGAAGGACAAGAGTTTAGCATTATTACAGACCATGCGTCGTTAAAATGGCTAATGACCCAAGCGGATCTCAGTTCCTGGTTAGCTAGATGGTCCTTAAAACTTCAAGGTTTCCATTTTAAGATTCAGCATCGGAAGGGAAGTCAAAACATAGTTCCCGATGCTCTTTCACGTACAAATACAGAAGACCTATCGTCATTAGTTATGGTCAGTATTGTAGATCTTCAGTCCGAACAGTTTAAGTCGCTTGAGTACGTATCCCTCAAAGACAAAATTGAAG